GATAGTGGATATGGTTGGATGTATAGAAAGTAGCGCTATGGTGGAATATAGAATATTATGTAAATGCAAGCATTTCTTTATTCTATATGTTTAAATGTTGTTATTTATGAATAAATGTTCAATACACATTATATTGCTGTTATATAATGTAAATAGGAGAAAGACACATTATAATATGATAAACATATAATTATTGAAGATATATATATATTAAGTAATCTTTCATGCTCATTATGTATATCTGTATACTGCTCATTTTGGAGAAAACAAACAAAGATAGATGTCTTAAACCAGTAGTAATCAAAATACCACATACGGTATGTAGTCATTTTAGTGGAAATATGTTAACCTTATTAAGCTGAGAAAATAGATAAATGTTCTTGTATTTGGTTTCTTTCATTCTAGATAAGATTGTTTTGTTGATTAGTTTGATTTTTAGATGTAGAAAAGTCAATTTTCATCACATGCCCAATGTATACATGTAATTTCTAATTCTGTACAAGATTATACTGATATTTACAAGTATTATATACCAATAATATGCAAATACGTAATGGACATTTATGGACTATTTACTACTTTTTAACGATTATATTTAGTGGATTTGATTTACGAATTGGAAACAAACGAAGAATTTGTTGTGGACCTCTTAATAGACGAAGAAAAAAATCCACGATACAGTCAATAAATAAATATATGTTATATGAATATGAATGTTGTTTATGTATCTACACGTATTTATATGTATCAGGTATATTGTACTTATGTATTTATATTCTATTCTGTATGAAACGTGACATTAGAACATATTTAGTTGAGCATAATCTATACTTTTGGTTTAGATGTTTATATGTTTCCCTTCTCAGTTCTTTGCAAATTATCATTCCCGATTCAACAATTTTGTCCAAATATTTGCCATTGCCTGCCATGGTGTAGACTGAAGCCCGCTCTAATATTTTTAAACATCATATTTTCCATGTTTGCTTCTTGAAAACTGATGTAACACATGAAAAAAACAAATGTATCATTTGCTGACTTGATCAGCTGTTAATTCTTTTTCACCTTTCTTCCAAAATTACTTATGGCACAAATCCCTTTCTTGTTTTATTGTAGAATGTAAGAGTCAAGTGTTGGGTATTTTCATGACCTTTTCCATAATTGTATCAGCCTCGTTCCTGGAAAATTGGCTTGAACAGAGAGGTGAATTTGTTTTCAAAAATAGTAAAGAGAGTAGAGTGTTGGTAGTTTCTATGCTTTCTTGAAAATATTTTGAGAAGGCTAAATTTATTATACAAAATAAGCAACGAGACCACTTTTTCTGCGCCATTTGTGATTATTACTTTTATCATGCTCTATAAGTAAAGAACATGATTGTTTTGTCCAATGCAATGAAATGTCAGAATTACAGAATTTATTTTTTCTTTTGTTAAAATCTTATGAAGAATAACTTGACATAAAAAGGTGGTTATCAATTATAGGCTACCACACCCCTTTTACAAAGCAATAAAATATTTTTGAATATTTAAATATAGAGAAGGGTATGGTTGAAGGGTAACATATCAAGCTTAATTGTTTTCATGAAATGTTTCTGTCAAGGACAAGGGGAGCATATGATCAGAGGATGCATTGATAAGTTTCAGTGATATCTTTTTTAGTTGAACAAGGAGAGGTTTTAAATATTTCATAACATTCCTTTGTTGCATCAGAGAAACATTGTTAATCACTCATGAACTCATTACTGATGGAAGTTAAGCGGTTCTTGTATTAAGCTTGCTTGCGGGAATGACAGAATTCAGTAGGCGACGACTGTTCAAGAAAACGATTAAAGAATTTGTGCAATTCATGACTCTGTAACTTATTGGTGGACCATGAAAAGGGCATTTACAAGAAAATTCGATCTGCCATGCAATTACAGGAAGACAAAAAATAGTTCTCTTTCTCATTAAATTTTAATATACAAATCAGGTTTTGTTTGCATCATTATACTGTTTGCTACACGAGTGATCATGTGTATTTGATAATGGGAAAAGTTGCAATATGTGAACAGAAGACTGAAGTTATTCGTGTTTCTAAACCATGATTACTGCCCTTTTTTTAAGACTGCACTATTTCCTTGCAATAGACATTCCCTCTTTTTCATACCAATCAAAATTGAACATTCATATGCCGATATCATTTCTACTTTTTCTGTTACCTTCTGAATGTTGTTGTGTATTGATGTAGAACAGAAAAAACCATGGCATAGAATTTAAATTGTGATATATCTTTTTGAAAAAAATATGTGGCTCTTTAATATAGTTAATGTAGGCAGAGTATTGACTTCATATAACCTTTCTGTGGGACCAAATCGTATAGTCTGTTTTTGAGCAATGTCTCACGTACAATGTGAAACATTGTTTTTGTTATCATATAAAAGCAGTTGAATAAAAAAAAAAGCAGTCAATGAATAGTCTCCTCCCAGTAGTTGATATTTGTTTTTGAGTAGTTATCTGATGATATATTTGCGATATACTTGCTATTAGTCACAAGGTATCCAAAAATTGATAAACATTATGATTCTTATGAATTTTGTTTGGACTTGTACTCATATAATATTATTATCATATTGATTTATGTCTCAGCATCTGAAAATGAATGGAACTTGTGATGATGAAGCAACGACTTTATTCAACGATTTCATTTATGTACTGTCTGCACATCGGACTGTGATGTGTTTGATTTATGTATTATTATATTGTTTGCCATTATTTTCGAGTTATCCCGGTTTTCGTTCTTTATCAATATGATATGGATTATTAAAATGTTTCAATCCCTATAATGACAAATCAGTCTGAACAATTTATCTTTTAATGTGTCCTGAGTCATGATGTGAATTTGCAATGTGATGTAATGTTTGAGATCTGAGTGATGAATCTTTGAAAAGGGGCAGGTATAAAATAATAATAGGTGATGAACTGTAATGATCTGCTAAACATGACTGGTCAAATTCTACAATTGGCAAAATTTCATCCAGAAATGCATATTACAAGTGAATTCAAAAAGTCGGTACTAAATAGACTATTTGCCAACAAAATATGGGGGAAATGTGGTATGTTAAGAATACTCACCGATGTCAAATACGGAGAGAGAGAGAGAGAGAGAGAGAGAGAGAGAGAGAGAGAGAGAGAGAGAGATGTTCCTTTTTAGACTTGTATGCCAGTTATCAAAGTCGCACGACCAATAATCACAATAATCTGAGTTTGTAGTCTGGTGGTTAGATCCTTGCAAAAGAATAACGACATAAATGTGCAGAGAAGGAAATACCCTTTTTATGCATAATAATACTGTGACGATGATGATGATGTTGATAATAATGATTATCATGATGGTGGTGATGGTTATGAGGATAAAACATAATGATGATGATTATGTTGATATGATGATGCCAATGATTGTGATGGTGATGATGAATGTTGACGTTGCTTATTGAAAAAAAGTTTTGAAAGATATTATGTCGGCGTATAGTATATAGTTTAAAGAAGATACAAGAGGGGAAAGATGGGATAGCTGACCAAGCTAGGAGTCAGTTCTCTGATCTACCAATATACCGGACTCGTGTGTTTGAATGGAGACAGGTCGGATATTGTTGGATGCTGCCCAGACAGAGGAACAGATAGACGAGCTGGATAGTTTTGTTTTCTTCTTTCTTTCTGAGTGTGACTGTTTTATGAGCCTTCAAACTGGGGCGGGCAGAATGGGGGCAGAGTAGGCCTCGCTCTGTATACAAGCTGACAAAAGAGAGGTCGAATCACTATTTACTTTTTTTTTAAAGTTCAAGAGCCGAAACTAATAACGCAGCCTGCGCGCCACCATCACATTCCCCCGTTGTAAAAAGATGACGGTTGGATGATGTCGGCAATAATATTATTATGATTTTGTCATTGACTATAGATGGCTGTCAGAATATTTGTATAACTACATAAATATTTTGATAACTGCATCGGCTCTTAAAAAAATATAATACGAACAAGAAAAAAACCCGCCTACGTCTTTGATTATCAATTGATCTTGGGAACTACAAGTAAAGGTGGAAAATAAATGTTTAGAATTTCTATGCTGAAAAGTGTTTTTATGCTCATTATGTGTTAAGTGCATGTTTATGCCAATGTATTGACAATTTTCTTCTTCTTCTTCTTCCGGTTAAGTACAGACCGTCGTTGGCGTATTATCTTACTTGGGCTTATCGAGTGCCCAGATGAACAGTGCAAGTAAAAAATATTTTGATCATTCTCTTGTCTAAAAAAATTAATGTACGATAATCCATGAAACAAGGCGACAACTTTGTAAAAAAAAGGGTTCACGAAAACAAAGAGAGTGATTGAGAGGGAATGAAAGATAAGAGGAGAGGGGAGAAGATGAGAGAGAGAGAGAGAGGAAGAGAGAGAAAGAGAGAGAGAGAGAGAGAGGGGGGGGGGGAATAACAAACCCTGAGTTCAATTTCTAAAATTCGTACGTGATAATCGAACGAACTGGTCCAAACTGGAGGAAGCAGAAGCAAAACATAATTATGAAAAAATAAGATTGTCAATAGAAATTTTGTTTCATAGCAAATAACGTCAGTCTATTAAAGTTGCGGGAAGGAAACGGGACTCCTTTTCCGCATTGATCAGTCACAGAGCGTCGTTTAGGTAACACTTTTGGATTTTGGGCCAATGTATGTCTTTTCTAGGGCTATAGGGTTCTAGGGACGTTCATAAAAGTGGCGTAGACTCTAAACCCATACCTTTTGATCCACAGTCCGGTGAGTGACTTATCCACTCAGCCAAATTAAGCACCTCTTTTCTTTGGCACTTTTGGTTTCGCTTGATCGAACGTGGTGGTGGTGGTGGTGGGGGGGGGGGGTGGGTATACAATCCCACTAATACCCAAACCAAAGGAGGAAAACACACAATAAAAACGATTACATAACGGAACAAAAGGAAAAGGCACCACAATAGTCCACCATCCTTTGTTGAATAACCTCTATACGAAAATTGTCCGAAATGTAGGGTGCGGTCATGTACGTCTTCTACGCTGTATATAGCCCAACACACTGACAGTCTCTGGTATTATTTACGCGGAATGCAAATGATAATTAGGCAAATATACTTGTGTATCAAATCGTTATGATCCACTATATTATGTTTACAACCTGTTTATGATTTGAGAAACGGAGGAAACAATGGCGTCTGCCCTGGGCGATTTGAGATTTCTGGTCGGGTTGTTGATCCTGCTCGAAGTTGAAGTGTTTGCGCAAGGTAAGGGTCGTTTTTCTATAAATCCATTCAAAGGAACTAGCTATAAGTTAATAGCAAATTTGATAATTGTTTTCTTATTTTCCCAGATAACAATTGCTGTTGTCGATTTGATAGGGACGTTTATGATTATCACTTATAATGTATACATGTTTATTATATATGTAATATTGTAAAGTATGTAATACTATAGTGTACATATACACCCTGTTTTGCCATGCTATACATTCAGCAGAAAAAATAAAAATAAAGAAAGTGGACACTCTTTATTTTTCAAAATGTTCATAAAATTATAAACCGTCAATAACATGAAATAAAGTATATATCAAACTAAAGTCAACATTAGAGGAGATGGTATAGAGCAGTGATCTCGTAATTCGGCGATCCGAGTTTGAAACCAAGGCGATGCGCTATAGTACCCTTTGGTAAGGCTCCTCATAATAATATTACCAGGTCTTTCGGAGAGGACCTAAAGCCGTCGGTCCTCCATCTGGTTGCTTAATTACTAACAAGCATTTTATGTTTTCTTAGCAGTCAGGTAAAATAACCACCACTTCACTTCAATTAAGATCAAGTTTTGAACTTTTACGCTTGGATTGGTAAATTAATTTAAGAAAATTCAAAAATAGATCAAAGTAGCCATTCGAAAGTTAATGAACATTGTATATTAGGGAAGACATGCTTATCTGTTCTTACGAGTTACGACAACAAACAATGAGAAACAATCAACTTTAGTCTCGAGACTGCATGGTTTTGACAGATCCGGTTTTGACAAGCACTGTCAAAATGTATCCAATGCCCATCAACATTTGAATGGACAGATGCCCCAATTTTTACAGTTTTCTTTTAGACTCATTTAATGTTAAATGGCTATCCTCACTCCTGCATGGCTGCATGAATGGTATAATTCCAATTGCAACTGAGAGGATTGGTTCACGTTTATTTTGATATATGAAAGATAATTTATGTAATTTTTTTTTGAAAATCTTAACTATCACTGTAATATCCTTGTGTTTTGAATGTGTCATTGCAAATTGGCATCAGTGCCACGAAACGTGATCTCTTTTAGTAACCTATGAATTAATGAATTCAACTTTATATGAACGAATAACACAGTTTAGCAACCATAATGATTTATTCAGACTGACAGTATTTGATGCCATCATGAGGCATGTAATACAAGAAAGGAATCATTGTCTTACTGCTATCTTGGTGTATGTGTAATTTATATCAGTTCCTTTATCATTACAATAGAAAGGTCTTGGCTCTGGTATTTTTACCTGTGCATTTTCTTGACATCGAACACCGAAGGTTTAGGGGGGGGGGGTACTCACCTTATAAGGTTTAAACGGTGATGTGCCGCTCTTAGACTAATGGATTACTTTTTTTCAAAAAATCCCCAAACATGGGATATGATTTTGTGCTGCAAAATCCCTCAAACTGACCCCACTTTTCAGATCTTGGCCTTAAACATGGGTTACTATTTTCTTCAGGATAATATCTCACCCATAATCTCGTTAAAATGAAAATTCCAGATGCAAAATCCCACAAAAATATTGTAAATCATTTCGCCTTTTCATCCAAAGTCCCACAAGTTATTTTCCAAATTAATTGCTACATTATTGTTACAAACGGATGGGTTTTAAATTTTATAAAAGCTAAAGAGGCTGGAATACAAGAGCAAAATGAGAAAGTACAAGAAAGCGTGCATGCAACGTTTAAACGAAATTAGAGGAAAAACAAACGGCTGAAACTGGGAAAGCTATTACTAAATACATTCAGGGATTAAGGGATGTGAAAGTGTAAATCATTCATGCAAAGTCCCAAATAATGGGTACCATTTTCTGCCCAAAATCACCCTTAAAATGTGTATTGTTTTGGACGCTCCAGCCGCACACCCCCGTCCAAAGCAAATCTGAGTATCCCCCCCCCCCCACCCCCTAGCTGTGATATGGTTTGTTTCATACCGTATGTGAATTCACAAAGGCATGAATATGAGGACGGACAAATAAGACCATTTTATTTTAAATGAGGAGGAAAGTGTTCCATTTTATTTGATAATTGACATTTTTGTTTACATACCATAATTATATACCGTTGAGTCAATTTTAATTAATACAACTGTTGTTTATTGTGTTTTATTTGTATATGCACTAAAGAGTCGAGGGTAAAAATAAGTCAAACGGTAATTACAAGATATTAATGATGTTCGTTTACCCCATTGCCCAGATGTCCTCGGCTTCTCATTTATTTTAATTTTTTTTTGGCATCCCCGAGGTTGAAGGGGTGCCTTCAGAGGATGTAATAGTTGATCTGGTGAACACCTCCCTTGGCGTTCACCTCCAGAAGGGGGACATAGACCATATTCAACGGGTGAATTCCGCTATTAAGCCTGGTCCAAAGGGTCCAAGCACCATAATTGTCAAGTTCCTGTCGTTCAAGAAGAGGAACGAGGTCCTCGGGAGTCGACGCAAGCTCGCGGGTACGAGAAAATCCATCCAGGAGGACCTCACGCGCGATAACGCCAAGCTCCTCAAGATGACCCGTGACCATCAACGGGTGAAAGCTGCTTGGACACGGGATGGTCGAGTCATTGCCTTGTTGCCAGCAACCGATGGCAAAGAAGTGAAGAAAACCATCTTTTCTGAAGCGGACTTGGCCAGGCTCTAAATTCAACCTTTGTCTATAAATAACTTGATAGTTCTTGCCACATGATATTTAAAACATCTCTTTTTATTTACTACACTATTGGTACTGTTGTTGTTTTGTTTTTTACTTCATATGAATTGTCTTTTTACTTATCTGCGCAATGTATCCTGTGCGCAGTTATATATATGTTTTCCATTCTGTTCTTTTTTGTCTTCCTTTCCCTGTTTATACCTTCCTTTTTCCTCTCCAACTTGCTGTCTCATATTCTATATGTCTCAAGTGTTTATCTTTCTAGTTGTATTTAAGTTAGCTAGCCGTTTCCTTATGTCTATGTTATCAGTACTCGTGTTTATCCTGTCACCTATCTTGACCGATCATGGCTCAAATAGATGACCATAATATTTGCAATTTTCTTGAAGCTAGCTTGAGTGATATCAGTGACAGCATTGAAAATATTTCTTTAAGATGTAATTATTCTACAGAACAACAGTTCTTTGAGTCAGTTAAAAATGCCACAGATAAAGAGCTTTCCCTTCTTCATTTTAATATCCGCAGCATGAGTAGAAATTTTGAACATGTGACATCATTTGTGAACAAAATCAGCTCAGGCTTAACTGCCATTGGTGTCACTGAAACTTGGTTCACCAATGAAAATGATGCAAATTTGTTTGTTATTCCAGGTTATAACTTGTTAAGCAATAGTAGAGTAGACAGACGTGGTGGTGGTGTTGCCCTTTATGTTCCGTCTGGGCTCGATTATCGAGTATGTCACGAGCTTAATGTTATGACTGAAAATCTAGAAGCTTTATTTGTTGAAGTCTTTATTTCTGGTAAAAATAATATCGTAATTGGAGTCGTGTACAGACCTCCCAATGGTATTTTGAACATTTTTTTGGACGAAATGCAGAGAGTTTTGGAAAGCCAGTCACTTAACGGTAAATCCTTATTTTTGGTTGGAGATTATAATATAAACCTTTTACAGCACAATGTTGATGCTCATGTTGATGATTTCCTGAATTTGATGTTGTCGTTTTCTTTGTTGCCCTTGATAACAAAACCAACAAGAGTAACTGAATCCTCTGCTACTCTTATTGACAATATCTTTAGTAACTTACAACCTTTTCCCTTATCTACTATTGTTGTGTCGGACTTGTCTGACCATTTTCCTGTGTATACTGTAATTCCTTTGGGAAAAAAACTTGTAGTCACCCATAAGAACATTTATGTTAGAAGAAACACCCCAGAAAATATTAATCAGTTTAGAGAGGCGTTATTGTCGACAAACTGGAGTGATGTTCTTTTGAATCAGTGTGATGAGAGTGCCTTCGATATTTTCATGAATAGGTTTTTATTGTTGTATGATGCTAATATTCCAGTAGTAAAGAGTAAAAACAACCGTAGAAGAACTCCACGTATGCCGTGGGTCACCAATGCTATGCTGAAATCAATAAATAAGAAAAATGAGCTGTTTTATAAGTATAAGAAAGCAGGGACGGTAGCTCTAAAAAGGAAATATTCCGTTTACAGAAATACTCTGACTTCTGTGCTGCGTGCAGCCAAAAAACAATACTATTTAGCACAGTTTAAAGTAACTTACAATAATATCAAGGGCACGTGGAAGGTGATAAGAAATGTATTTCAAAAAGCATCTAAAGTAACAAGTATAATACAAATGAATATAGATGACCAAATGGTTGAAGATAAAAATATTATAGTGGAAAAGTTTAATGAATATTTTTGTAATATTGGTCCGAATCTGAAAAAAAATATTCCTAACAGTCAAACTGATTTTCATGATTACTTAGTAGAACCTAACATGCAAAGTTTATTTTTGGTGCCCACAAATGAAGAAGAATTGCTTGGTATTGTTAGAGCCCTCAAGAACAAGAAAAGTCCTGGGTATGATCATAATGGGAACGAACTTATTAAGCAAGTTATTGTCGGTATCCTTCAACCACTACAGTAGTTCATATTTTTAATTTGTCTATGTCAAGCGGAGTTGTACCGATAAACATGAAGATCGCAAAAGTTGTACCAATTTTTAAAAAAGGTGACTCTCAATTACTGACAAATTATCGTCCGATTTCTTTGTTAACCTGTTTTTCAAAAATTCTGGAAAAAATTATTTATGTAAGAACTATAACATTTTTAAACAAAACATGTGTCTTCAGTAATTATCAGTTTGGTTTTCGGGAGAAGCATACAACAACACATGCAATCTTACACCTTATAGATAAACTTGCTTCTGCCTTAGATAGTCGCTTACACACCATTGGTACATTTTTAGACTTTTCCAAGGCCTTTGATACTGTAGACCATGAAATTCTCTTAAGTAAATTATGTCATTATGGTGTCAGGGGAGTCGCCTTGGATTGGTTTAGAAGTTATCTAACTGATAGAAAGCAATATGTGTCCTTAAATGGAATTGACTCTAGTCCCCAATAAGTAACATGTGGTGTTCCCCAGGGATCCATTTTGGGACCACTTTTATTCATTTTGTATATTAATGATTTTCAACGCTCATCAAGTGTATTATCATTCATATTTTTTGCTGATGACTCAAGTGTATTTTTTTCTCATAGATGTCCACAAACATTGTTGAAAACTGTTAATGAAGAGTTTCGAAAAGTAATGAAGTGGATTAATGCTAATAAGTTATCCTTGAATCTTCAGAAAACTAATTATATACTGTTCAGTAATTCAGTTAATATTTTGCCAGGCGAAGTGGCATTCAATAATAACCCAATTGAGAGAGTAACTTCAACGAAATTTCTTGGAATATACATAGACGAGAAACTGAATTGGAAAACTCATGTGGACAAATTAAGTAAAGTGGTGTCAAAAAATACTGGTGTTATTTATAAGTTGAGATCATGTATACCTCAAGAGGTATTGTTCATTTTGTACTCTACTCTTATTTTATCATATATCAATTATGGTATGTTGGCATGGGGCAAATCATCCAAAACTCAAATCCACAGGCTTTTTGTTGTGCAGAAGCGGGTTATTAGAATAATTTGTAAAGCAAATTATCGTGCACATACAAATCTACTTTATTATGAAAACAGTATTCTAAAACTAGAAGATCTCTATTCAATGCAACTTGGAATGCTCATGTTTAGCATTCACTCTGGAGACCTCCCTCCTGCCCTTGCTCAAATCTTTAGAAGAAATAACCAAATTCACAGCTATAATACTAGACAGGCTTCTGCTCTCCATTTACCATATGCAAGGACAACCTTCACTTTGAATACACTAATGTCCACTGGCCCCAGGTTCTGGAATTCACTTGATACTACCATAACAAATGCTTCAAGTATCTCAGTTTTTAAACGTAGACTTAAGTCATATTTTCTTGACAAGTATGTCGATGACACATGAATGTGTTATCAAGCTTTATTGTTAGTGTACTGTAGCATATTTAACTCTACTCTTGATCTTTTTTTTCGTTAATTCTTGACTTTGACATATAACCCCCTTTATCCCTTTTCTTTTTTCTTCTTCTTTCTCATCTGTACATACTACATATACCATATATTCCTACTTGACCTCTGCACTCAGAGAGCAATAACTCATTGATGTCTCGACTTGGTGTCGGCTTGGGTTTGTCCATATTAGATCATATTAGATGCAACGTTGGGTAGTTGTTCTCTGAGAGTATTTTGTAAATAGTTTTATATATTCCATATTTGTTGTTGTATTCATAAATAAGCTATTTTTGTCACATCATATGAGGGGGCCTTAACTTAACAAGCTGTGCTTCAACCAAGGTCTCCTCGTCTTCCTTTGTTTCTACATTGTACTGCTATGATTATACTCTATTATATTTTGTCACATGTGTTTTCTGGAAGACAAATAAACTTGAACTTGAACTTGAACTATTTCTTCAAACAAAAAATATTTTAAAAATGAGGCGTGTCGAAAGGAGGAGGTGACGACAAACTAGAAATCAATTTCTTTGTTCCAATCACAGACGGGCAAGAGATTTGTATTGAAAGAACTATTCGAAAAATTGTCTGACATGAAAATATCCCATACATTTACTTTTTCCGACTCCCAATATGAATCGACGATAAGTACTTATCCTGTCCTGTTTGTGTTTTTCGTTCAGAAATGAGAATGGTCGGGGTTTTTACATTGATCTAAATGAAAACGTGGAGGTTTTCGACTAGATATCAATTCAATTGCAAAATACTTTTTTTTAAAGTGGCGTTCAAAGTAAGGGAGAAAAAGAAAATGGAAAATGGGTAGATCACCCACAAAGATAAGATTTGGTGTCACTTTACAAGAACGGGTATATCGAGGGGGTTCAATGTGGTAGCGGTGCTGGCACCACGCGCGCGCCAGATTAGGGGAATTCCCTAAATGTACCATGCATGAGACTGGTGCAATTATTTAAAATCGACGACATAATATAAGTGCCTCATACTGATACGGCTAACGTTATATAGTCATACCCTTTCGTCTGCTATCATTGGCACTGCTGCTTTCTTTTCTTTAATTGGAAAGGGTAAGATTTCACATGGCTATACTAGTCTAGATTGAGGCATAAAGTACCGAAATAGATCGAAAACTTGACCTAAATGAAAACGCTGAAGTGTTTGTCTAAATATTTTTTCTGGATAACGTTCGAGCTAAATCATGACGGAGAACAACTACGAACTGCCCGGGCCCGAAGGACCAGAGCTGAGGCAGAGTCGGTGTGCATGTACATGTATGCGACGAGCAATGCGTAGCTAAAGGCTGCGCATATCAATAGCCATTCGAGTTGAACGTTCGACTTTTCCGTGCAATGACAGAGCAGCATTGGATTTAGACGGGCATCGAAGTTAGGAGCAACAATAGCGCTAAAATTTTAAAGAAGTATTTTATCATATCTTCTATTGTGCAGTGTAAGAAAATCAAAGATTTTTAGTCTAGATGAGATGAACTGAGACTAGATCTAACTAACTTGTCAAATCAAGGCTGAATATACATGTAGTCAAAAGCAGGTCTATGTTTTTCATATGTGATTTATCATGTTTTCATCATTTCTTGTTCTGAACATACAGACACGACACCTCCGACTTTAACCTGCCCCAGCACAACTGTCATTGGCAATGGAGCAGTGGTTCGCTGGGAGGTTCCCACGGCAACTGATGATTCTGGAGAGGTCTTTCTGTCTTCCACTCATTCAGTCGGAGATTACTTTCCTTTGGGAAACGCAACAGTCACCTACACAGCTACAGATAAAGTTGGACTGGAAACAAACTGCTCTTTCACTGTAACAGTGATAGGTAAGTCTTCAAATTCTTCTTAATAATAACGAAATAGTCAATAGAAACAGAGAGATCAATGATGTAAACAGCTCTAGTGCATACAGGAAGACCACTAAGAGAGAGAGAGAGGAAGAGAAATCGGCTTGTAATAAATGAGAGGCTTATTAGGAAAATTATTGTGATGTCAAAGTTTTTAGCAAACCCTTTACCCTTAAAATAATTGATTGAAACCATACCAGAAGTATCATCATTTCGCCCCTTGGATACAGTATCGAAGACTGTACAGGGGCATTTCAGGGGATTGTCGCCCGCCATTTTTAGATTTTAATTTTCTGACGGGGGGGGGGGGGGGGGGGGGGGGGGGACAAATTCTAATGGCCTTTAGTACATTTTGGGGAATTTTTTCCCTGTTTTGTTTTTGAAAAATTTGGTTGACAACTCCCTTTAAAATACTCAATAGTCTCAGCCCTGTGTAAAATGATTTTGCTTCTTCTCAAGACATGTTTCTCATTCTCTCCTTGACTACAGCCGACGGGTCACCAGAAATCTCTAACTGTCCTGACAGCACCTTAGAGGTCACCGTGTCAGCTGGAGTGACCTCTTCAAATGTGACCTGGACCGCACCCACCGCCGTTGACCCAAACGGAGGAGCAGTCACTGCCTCGTCAGACTATGCCCCGGGCGCCACCTTTCAACTTGGCACAACGAAAGTGATGTATACATTTGAAGATGATGCAGGAGAGAGATCGAATTGTGTTTTCAAAGTGAGAGTCTATGGTAAGTATCGTTCACTGATGTGAATCTATTGTGTAAGAGAGCTAGAAGGGCATTAACCCTAACAAAAATTAGACAGGTATAGTGCCCTTCTTGCTCTCAGGAGATGATAAAGATATTATCTGTGACTTCGAACAGAAAGAAATACATGGGTGGCGGATGAATCGGCCCCAGAAGTACCCAAAAGTGCCCCTGAAATATAGGTCAAAAAATGTGATTACAAGGGAGACTTCCAAAAAGGAAATCGTCCAAAATAGCCCCCTAGAGATTCTGTCTAGTTGCATTGTCTGAAATGGGAATGGATATGAAAAGATGCATCAAATAAGATAATTATTTCATTATTTGAATCAAACTCTTGACATAAATGTCTGTATGAAATTCAACAGGTTGTGCAACATTAGTCAAATTTGCAATTTGATACTAACTGTAACTGTATGATTGCAAGGGGATTCTTGCTGATAAAGTTTTCAAGAAAGTAACAAATCTAACATTTGAGGGAAAAATACTTGCATGTTGTATTGTAAAAGTCAAAATTTTCTATCAAATGAAGTTGTTTTCCTCTATCAGAAATTTTACTGTTAAAAATCCATCGACTTGATCGACCAACAATGTGTTTTATTTGGAATTCCTGTTTTCTGTTTTAGAATCCAGTGATGCTGTATCACCCACAGTTGTGACCTCCTGCCCCGATGACATCATAAAAGATGTCACCCCTGGAACAGGCGAGGTCAGCGTGACATGGGTTGAACCGACCTTCAGTGACCTTGTAGATGGGAACGACCTCTTTGTCATGCAGACTAAAGAATCAGGGTCGTTGTTTCCTGAGGGGTCAACGGAAGTCCTCTACACTGCGATGGACACAAAGTACAACGTGGTGCATTGCATGTTTACTGTTACCATTAATGGTAAGTTAAAATCATTTGATGGCCCCTACTCAAAAAGAAAGAATTAATTGCTTTGTAGAATATTTTTGGAGAATTCTGTACTTTTGTAAATTACAACCCTGGGATAATAACTTAGTCAACAATATTGAGCCTGTTGAAAAAGAAGTAAACATAAAAGAAAGATGCAAATATCCTGGGTTTTCATGATATTGAATAAAGAAAGTATTTATGCTATATGTAAGCCATTTACAACAGGAACTGGTAGTCCCTGCATGCATTAAGCCAATGGCGATGAAAGAATTTAGTAGTCAACAGACTAAAACTTGCATGCATTCAGTTTCTATACTTGGGAATATTTTTTGATTTGCAGTTACCGATGATGACATCCTACCGACCATCTACAACTGCCCGAACGACACCTTGCTTTGGGTTGCCACAGGTACCACTGAGGTCAACATCTCCTGGATCCCTCCCACTGCGACGGACAATTATGGCACTCCGACCCTGGTCACGACCTCTGACCCTGGGACGGCTTTTGGTGTTGGGGTCGCCGTGGTGAATTACACAGCAACTGATCACGTCAACAATGTTGCATATTGTTCATTCAACGTGACAATCTTGGGTAAATTCAATGAAACTTGTCTAAACTCACTTCTGTTGTTCATAGCTTTTAATATATATTTTATGATCATACAATGTAGTATAGATGACTTTTAGAAATTATATGGAATGCAATTTTTAGTCAGTATTTGTAGATGTTACTTTTACTATAAAAGCTTTACTGTACTTTTTCTTTCAAATGATACATCAATTGAAATTTAAAAAAAAAATCTTCTGGTTGCCAAATAAAAGCCAAGATTCTTGAGAAGTCATCATGTAAGCCAGCCAGATTTCCTGGATACTTGTAATATGCCTTTCCTCCCTCCCCCCCCCCCCATAAGAAAAATCTGCATTTGCAAAATGTAGGTATATTAAACTTATTAAAAAAATGAGTGATATAAATTTGAAAAGCAGAATAAATGTACAGAAACATATATCTATTTATTTTCTCTTTGATGCAGTTGACGACGAAATACCTGTCATCACAGGTTGCCCAGGCAACATCGTTGAATACGTCCAGCCGAACGTTACATCCCTGGCCGTGACGTGGGCCACGCCCAGTGTGACCGACAACTCTGGGGAGTTCACCTCTTCTACCAACCTGGCTTCAGGGTCTACGTTGCAAGCGAGTGTGGCGGGAGAGAATGAGGTTGTCATGATGACCTATGTCGATAGGTTTGGGAACACAGCAATGTGCACTTTTACCGTGAATGTTCTAAGTAAGTCTATCGATTGTTCAGTAAAACCTGCATATAAAGAACTCCTTTGAGACAAGGAATGCTGTCTTTATAGGAAGGTGGCATTTATGTATGGGTTCCTTCAGTGTACATTTCAACAAGAAAATCTCTTCAATGGGAACAAATTTTGGCTTTAATAGATGCATAATCTTTCTAATTCTACAAGCAGATTCTAGGGTTCTGTATAACAATAGTTGTATTTAATGGAAAACGTTATTTTTTCTATGTATAATGCACTTATGCTAGAGGTTTAAACATCAGGCCTAATGCCCAAGTAACTTTATTGTCTATAGCTTTATATTCAATTGCCAAGGTGTAATTATTGTGATAGAAATTTCCAGTGCCTTCATACTCCTGGGAAAAAAGAATCTGTATTCACAGCCTGTTGTAGGGAAGATGACTCTCCTTCTAGTATTTCTTCCTTCCAATTTTTTTCTGCTCTCTGATCATATCTATTTCATCCCCATTTTTCTTCATTTTTTTCTTATTATTATTCTCGTTCCTCATGTTTATCTACTCCATGCCTGTATTTTCTTCAGTTATTTCTTTAGATTATTTATATCTGCTCTTGGTCTTCTTGCTCTTGTTATTGTTCATATTATTTGCCTTGTTATATATATATATCTGTTTGTTCTTGTTCATATTCATAGTTGATATGCCACCTGTGTTCAATTGCCCCGCACCTATCATCCAAAACAACGAGCTGGGTGTGGCCTATGCTGATGTCTCTTGGCCTCAGCTGACCATCACGGATGACTATACATCGCTAGCTAATCTTATGGTATGTCCATGTCTCTCCTTTCAATGGTAGATTCGAAGGAGATGGGGAGGGGGGGGGGGGGGTAGCCCCAAATGAAATTAGTGATACTTTTAATACACAGATACACAGGAGAGTAAAATGTATTTGTGTGTCCCGCCCCAATATGAGCAAAATTATTTCTTTCTTTGCTTGTCAGCACTTTTTTTGACACCTGACACAGTCATTATGTTCACTCTCATACAATATCAACTTTTGACATTTGAAGCAATTTGATGTACATTCAGAAATAACAAGAGAATGATAGAGTACAATGTCAGAGAATACAATTTACATGTAGAAGATGGAAAAAGAGGGTTAATGCATACATTTTCATATCATTTGATTGTCTATAATTATCCTACATTTCTTAGTTAGATTTTTACCATATTTTGTTGACATAACTTTACCTTCTGCTTTATTACTGCAACTTAACACTAAATATCCTTATCATCAGATAACAATGACTCATTCTGAGCCACTGAGAGTGTTCTACGACAGCCCGACCACTGTCACCTACTCCGCAACGGACAAAAGAGGCAACATAGCCATCTGTATGTTCACTGTAACTGTTAATGGTAAGTACAGTAACTTTTATAAAGCATCAGCAAATCACCAGCAAGCACCCTCTTGAGAGTTGCGGTTAATTGCAGCATGAACAAATATGTCTCAACTTTTTTTTTTAAAACCAATCAGAGATCCGTTTCACAAAGCTTTTTTTCAATGACAAATTACAAAAATCAGTGACTAATCTGCTGATAACCAATCAGAAACAAGGATTTCACTAGCTTATAACGAAAACTGTCATTTGTCACTGATGGCAAGTTTTGTGAAATGGGGCCCAGAACACATGTTTTGGAGTTGCTCTCAGTTGCAAGTTCTTATATGCAACAGGCCCCAGAAGTTCTTTTTTGAAACTGAAGATAGAATCATGAATTATCAATTTGATATACATGTAGGAAATTAAATTTGTTTTACCAAATAATATTTTATTAAACGTATCCAAATAATGTTGATTGTGGATTGAATTTAAACAAAATTTTTACCTGTGAATAGCGTTTGAGTGTGGACACAAATATGTTATTTCAAGACAGGGATTGATATTGTTTTGAAGTCTAGTAACGATTAAGCAAAATGATAGCGATTTGTTCATCATGAAGTATTTTATATATGTTAGAATACATATTAACAACATTTTGAGGAATTAAGTGTTTAAGAAATCTCAATATATTGAAGGTTCGTACGGGTCATGGAAAACCTGGAAAGTCATGGAATTTTACTTTATTGCTTTTAAGGCCTTGAAAGTCATGGAAAATTATTTTTTCCATTGGAAAGTCATGGAAAGTCATGGAATATCAAAATTATGGACAACTATAGTATTTTCTCACTATACAAGTGAATAAATGGAGATATTTCAACCATTTTCTTCTCGTATTTTCTTTCATTCGTAACATACCGACTGATTGTACTTGTGAATGTGTTCACTATGATCGATGGATAAGCGCTGTGTACGTGGGTGTGTACGTGTACGATACGAACTACGTGTGTATGGTCAGTGTATGGCGGTACGGTCCACATCGTGCGCACATGGCTAGCTTGCGAGCGAGCTCGCTAGCGCTAGCTCAGTTCAGCAAGCTAGCGCACGTGTACGTGTGCAGTGTGTGTGTGCATATGATGATGGTGCCAACGCGACATGTGACACTCCAAGAACGAATGTAATGCCTCGATTGCACTTTGGCTTTGCATTAAATTGCGACCACTTAGACTACTACAATTTTTACACTTCTCCAATAAATGAGGAAAAAGTAAATTAGTAATATTTGTTTTTTAATTTTCATTATTTAAATAAAAAAGGAACAATACTGACGTGTCAACAAGGCAAATTGGCAGCGCTAGCTCGTTGACGATCTATATATCGACGCGACGGCATGTGTTTTGAAACTTTTGTGCATGTGTTGATTCTTCATGAAACGGAGTTGTTTATTTTCACAGACCTTGGAACTCGTCACGTGGATATTTTCACCATTACAAATTTTGTGGAAGTGATATTCAAAATGCCTGGAAATTGTCATTTTAAGGATGCTTGGTTAGAACACCCGGATTACCGTGGCTGGATTTTGAAAGAAAGTTCCGATCTGGGGACTGCTAGATGTGCTGTTTGTATGTGTAAATTCAGTGTCCGTAATATGGGCGAAGCAGCCGTCAAGAGCCACAAGAAGAGTGAAAAACACACAGCAAACCTCCAACAGCAACAACGTCGTAAGTGAGCATTTTTAATGTGAATTTTACCGATCCTTTATTGAGCATGAATCCAAATAATGACTGATAATAATTATATAAAAATGAAAGATTTGAGATTATTTAGCGATGCGATGTCACCTCGCAGGCATTGGTTACTGCTTACTGCGACCAGCCCGTTCGGGAGCGTCCCCGGCCCCGGGCCGGGCCGGCTAGGTTACTGCATGCAACAGCCCGAACGCTAACCCAGGGGGCTCCGCACTCACACGCCAGTGTTGTACCGGGCACTGTATGTGGACTGCAGAAAAAAAAAATAATAATAATTTACCTTAAAATTGACCCCAAAAATCATAAAACTAAATTTTGTACTTACAATTGGGTCCAACAGTTTGCTTGCCTTGAGAAGTATTTCCTCCTTTCTATTTCTTTAAAATATGTTTTTAAGGAATGAGTCAAAAATTAGTCCACTTGTCTTAGTGACTTACATCAATTGGCCAAAAGTTGCCGTGAATTTTTTTTTTTTTTCCTTCCCCATACTGTCAAACGGTTGTCAAAATAGGAAAACGTTTATGCTTTTAATGGTCGTTTGAACGGCAGTTAAACGTTTTGACTCGGCCCTAAATCTTACCAAATGATGATATTTATATTTTATTTATTTTAATAGACATTTTTTTCTTTTCTCCTAGATTCTACTCTCTCACTCAAGAGCTTCTTCAAGGCAAAAGGTGCAGAAAGTTCATCAGTATCTATCACGTCTACAGATGCAACAACCAGTACTTGTGCGCCATCAACCTCTAAAGTGACAACTCCCATTCCTGTTGCTGCAAGAGAGGAAACTTTAAAAGCTGAAATACTCTGGTGTCTGAAAGTGGTGGAGGATCATTTATCATTTCATTCTTGCCAGCACAACAGTGAGCTCTTTCAAAGAATGTTTCCGGACTCAGCTATTGCTAAGGGTTTCACGTTGTCAGAAACAAAATGTCGGTATATGACGGTGTTTGGTTTGGGCCCATATGTGCAAGACCTCCTTTATGACAACATAAAACAATCAAACCACTATGTGATACTGTTTGATGAAAGCCTCAACAAGAAGCTCCAGAAAAAGCAGATGGACTTCCTCATAAGAACATGGCAACACAATGAAGTTTGCACTCGCTACTTGACGTCTGTGTTCATCGGACATGGTTCAGCTGTTCACCTCAAGGAAGAACTGAATAAAGTTCTGCACACAGTTGGCTTGGAAAAATTACTGCAAATATCAATGGATGGTCCCAACGTTAATTGGAAGATGTATGATGACTTTACGCGAGAGTACACTGCTGACCTGACCAAATCCATACTGAATATAGGCTCATGCGGGCTCCATATAGTTAATGGTGCTTTTCTGACAGGTGCCAAGGCTGCTGACTGGGAGGTGGAAAGCTTTCTATCATCCTTGTATTACCTGTTTTCTGATTCCCCTGCCAGAAGAGAGGATTATCAGAAGATAACTGGAGATCATACCATGCCACTTAAGTTTTGCAAGACCCGATGGCTGGAAAACCTTCCTGTTGCAGAGAGAGCAATCAGCATCTGGGAGAGTGTATGTGCGTATGTTAAAGCAGTAGAAGAGAAGAAAATCCCTCACCCAAAGAACAAGTCCTTTGAAACTGTTTCAAAATGTACTCATATAACTGATTTCTTAGCAAGACTGTACTTCTTCATATCTGTTGCAAAGCTGGTCAATCCTTTCCTAACAGACTATCAGACTGATGCACCAATGCTGCCCTTTTTAGCTGAAGACCTTACTAGAATGCTTGCATCCCTTATGCAGCGATTTTTAAAGCTGGACAGGAGTACCATTACTTCTCCTTACAAGATAATGCAGGTAGATGTTAGCAGTGAGGCCATTCAGCTGCCCTTGGCCAAGTTGGACATTGGATTCTACACTGAGAAGAAGCTGAAAGATCTGAAGGCGAAAAATATCATCAGTGAGCTGAAAGTTCTGGAATTTCGCACTCAAGCAAAGAAGTTTCTTGCTGCAATGACCCGGAAGCTCATTGAGCGATGTCCGCTTAAGTATGCACTTGTGAGAAATATAGGATGCTTGAGTCCAAAGAACATGGCAAAAGACAAAGAAAACTCCACTGCAAAGCTGAAGAGGGTGCTTAACACCCTTAGTGATGCCCACAGACTTAAGGATTCATGTGACGATATCCTAAGAGAATACTCAGAAGCATGTGATGAGGCATCAAGAAGTGCAGAGATGAGAGACTTTGATCCAAAGAAAGAGAGATTGGACTCTGTAATGTGCAAATTTCTGTCCGAGTCTCGCTATTCGACCCTCTTAAAGTTGGTCCGCATGTTGCTTGTCTTGTCCCATGGACAAGCCTCCATTGAGAGAGGTTTCTCAATCAACAACGAAGTTGAAGAGGACAATCTCCTGGGACACTCACTGATATCATTGAGGGCCATTTATGACCATATCAAGTATGTTGGAGGAATCAAGAATGTGACTATTGACAAATCAATCATGTTGGCTGCGTCTGCAGGCAGGCAGAAATACCACATCTATCTCGATGAACAGAGGCGTAAAAAGGAAAAGGAAAAGAAAGAAGGAAAGAGAAAAGGACTGATGGATGGTTTGGAAGAACTAAAGGCCAAACAAATGAGACTGCAAGCAGATGTGAAAAGTCTTCACACCTCAGCAGACAAGTATGCTGAGGAAGCAGAGTCACAAGGAAGATTGACTTGTATTTCCAAATCAAACAGCCTCCGACGTACAGCAAAGGAGAAGGCATCCCAGTTACAAGTAATTCAGAAACAGATTGATGAACAGCTGAATGCCATTAAGAATTATTAAAGAACTTGGACAGTTTGTTACCAATGCCACCAAATATTCAGACAGGTGCAATGTGTAGAGGGATTTCTTTCAAACAGCTACATGAAGATGTCTCAAGAAAAAACTCATTCAGAAATTATTGACCAGCTTAATGCTAGCGAAACAAGAATTCATCAGCTGATGTGAGTAGGCCTACTGTGTTTTGTTGGTGAAATCAAAATTGGTGATGGTATGTGTGTGAGTTTGTGTGTTGGTGTTGTTTTGTTTTCTTTTTTTTGGGGGGGGGGGGGTAGTTACCTTGTACATGCAAAGGAGAGCTATTGAAGGAATCATGGTGGTCCATGAAACCAGGAACAGGCAATTTGTATTCTTTAGAAGTGAAAATTGCCATTAAAAAATGGACAATTGTTGATATGAATACATGTATGTGTAATTGTAAGAATATTATATAGCAGTGCATATCGAATATGATGAAAAAATAACATGTAATTGTAACAGATGAAATAACTAGATAACAAAAGCTGCCTTTCTATTAGTAGACTTGAAACATGCACTTTGCTTCGCTTTGATTTGAGATCAAATTTTCAGTCTACCGTGTAAAAAAAATGTGTAAAAGTCATGGAAAGGTCATGGAATTCTGGCTAGAAAAGTCATGGAAAGTCATGGAATTAAATTTATGAGAAAGAGTATGAACCCTGTGAATGACATTGATACATTGCATTGAGACCACAAAAAGAGACAGTATATTAATTTCTCACCACAATTCCTCTTCTTTTTCTTAGATGTTGAAAACCCAGTCTGGCAGACCTGTCCTACTTTCATCTCCCAACCTCTTGACCCTGGAACCAATTCAGCCATCGTCAGATGGACGGATCCTACAGTGACAGACAACTCCGGGGTTGACCCCGTCGTGACCTCTACGTCATCCAATCCTGAGCTGTTCTACGCTGGCTCCTACACGGTCGAGTATGTTGCCAGGGATGAAACCGGGAATGAGGCTAGATGTGAATTCACAGTTGTCATAGAGAGTAAGAAAGTTTTTGTTTGATCTTTGCTTTCCACTTCATCATTCTTCATCATTCGCAAATGAAAAAACCTTAACATTAGCAAAAATGTACTGTAAAAACAAAAGTCTTAGCCATTTATGTTATTTATGTCATATATCTCAATATGACCTATGACTAATAGTAGTGGTGCCACAAACAAATTTAGTTGATGATCACATCAAAAGATCTGTCCCTTTTTATGAAAAAAAGAGACAAAAGACTTAGTAATAGGGTTACATCTCATGGAATTACCCTTTAGCAAATGCCAAGAAGGAACATTCCAAAAATGAAAAAACAAAGTCTAGTTTCATTGGTGATTCAGAAAGTTAGCTGAGCTCAGCAAGGCCTTACAAGCTAGGGTTCATGTGCACCTGCAGAACCTGGACATTTTGAAACTAGAATGGGTAGGTTGCTCAGGGATCCCAGGGGAAAATATCGGGTGTTTCTGAAAGATGACTTGTATGTAGTAACTCAGTGATGCTCTGTGAGAGGCCCTTCATTGCAGCTTTCACTCATAGTAGCATGAGGTTTGCAAGCACACCTTTCACTTGCTTCCACTGTACAAAGAGTTGGTCATGTTCAAAAAATAAATAACAAAAATATTTCATGAAAGGTCTATATTGCTCAAACCTGTGATCTAATATTGTAAGCAAACATTTCCATAGCACCCGGAGGAGGCGCGATAGCTCAGTTGATAGAGCAGTGGTCTCGTAATCCCACGACCCGGGTTCGAAACCAAGTAGATGCGCTAGTGCCCTTTGGTAAGGCATTAATCCCTCAGAGAGGACCTAAAGCCGTCGACTATCTGGTTGCTTACTTGCATTTATGCTTTCTTAGCAATCAGGCAAAATAACCACCACCACCACCCCCACCCCATGATGCCTTTACTTTCATCTTTTTACCATGAAATTTTTCTCAGCTGATGAAAACGTACCTGTCTTCAATAACTGCCCCATTGGGACCCTAAACTTTGAGGCTGACCTTGGAACATCCACAACCATCGTGACCTGGCCGACAGTTAGAGCGACTGACGACAAGGACTCCAGCGTGACCATAACCTCCAATTACAACCCTGGGCAAGAGTTCTCCTTAGGGACGTACAGTGTGGAGTACCAGGCCAGAGACGATGCAGGAAATATTGGTTATTGTGGCTTCACAGTCGTCGTTGCAGGTAAAGACCAGATGGTTTGGTGACGTATTGTCTGATAGTTGCAGGAATTTGATCCCTTATTTTCTTGAAGTTAGCAATCTCAGTGTAAAAGTAACAAAATATTTCTTCTTTGTTCTTCTAAAGCAACCCAATAAATTGTCCATGCCAAATTGCTTGTTAGACGTACAGGCCCTTAAAGTATATTTACAGTTGTCTTTCCAGGCCAGGTTAAGGTACGAAGATACCTCGCTTGAGAAATGGCATTGCTCTTCACATATCTATCAAAAGATTTCCTGCATAGACCATGCTGTACAAATGCAGAGCATTGAAAGTCATCTACATGCCATGTTGGGATTACAAGATAACAATATTTTTACATTTAATGTTTATTTTCAAAAGATTATCATGATCATCCTCTATTCCTAATGATTATTGTTGTGACTCTTTCCATTACTGTAGATGGCATTTTTGTTTATATTTTGAATTTGACAACATTTTTTTATCTTTTCCAGATCTTCAACAGCCAGAGATAAGATCCTGCCCGACTGACCAGTCATTCTTTGTCCTCAATGCCGCCAGTGACGTGGGAGTCTCCTGGTCCGAACCTCAAAGAACAGACAACTCTGGCACGGTGACACTTACACAAACCTCTGGAAGTAACTCTGGATCTCGGTTCACGACGGGCACCTATGAAGTTGTCTATCGGGCTGAAGATCCAACTGGAAACATTGCAGAATGTTCCTTTATGATCTTTGTGACTGTTAAACAAGGTAG